GAAAATAGAGTAATACCGCTTAAAGTATTGATTCCTTCAGAATTATAATATGGTGCTGATCTTTTCTTTCGTGATACATTAAAGAGTTCCCGCAATATATTATCAATATCTGTATCATCCATATCAACAATTATGCCAGTAGTTTGTCGAACATATCTAGCTGTATCAAACAGATCATAATCATTGAAGCTACCTGGCAAATCGCGATTAGGTATACTTCTTAGTTCTCTGTTACGATTGCCACCACTGTTTGAAGTTTCCGGAAGTTTATTGCCGCTGTCAATTATCCAAGAAGAAATTATATTATCTATAAGGCTAGACAACAAGCCATATAAATTATCTTCTTCATAAAATTTACATTTCAACAGCCAAATAGAAGCGCCCATGGCATCCATTTCAGAATAAACATCGTTGTCTAAATATGTATTACATGGCGCAGAAGGAAAAAACGCGGTAAGAGACATTGACTCAAGTGGATCATTAAGTGGTCCAAAGGGTAAATTTGTTATCGATACGACCGAAGAAACAAATTCATTTGTAGATGCCCGTGGATAATTGGATGTGTCCTTTTTATCACCATTACCAAACATGCTGTCATCTCGCCCTTCAAATTCTTCAAAAAAATCATCCTCAAATGAAGCATCTTTGCCATTCGAATTATTAAGAGAAGTAGGCTGAATATCTTCATAATCAAGATTTTTCCAATCTTGGTCATCCCAATTTTGTAACTCATAAGTGAATAAACCAGCAACGGAAATTCCAAGATGTGGCATCTTGTCTAATTTAGGTTCATCAACTTGATCTGTTTAACCAAAATCATATGATTGTCAGATCTAGGTATGTGTTATCAATTAAGTCTAATTTTCGTATTAGAACAATTAAATCAAAGAATTTAATAAATTGTCTAAAAATGACTCACCAAAAGGCAATTGATTTAAATCCATTTTTTCAACAAAGAGATCTGTTAAACCCGCTAGATGCGAATAGCAAGGTGGAATCTCCCGAATGTAGGTAGTATTAAATCTTATTTCTACCTCACTAGCATCATCCACATTTTTGGAACCATCTTTGTTAAACAAACACATATAGCCGGCATATAATAAATTTGAAATCTGACCAGTTGGAACAAAAACAGGGAGTTTGCATTTTGTATTATGAAATACAATGGCAAAAGATGAAAGAAGAAGTTTTGTAGTACTAAGATCAATTGTACTAGATTTTTGGGCGGATCCAGAATAAAAAATGTCGGTCGGAGTCAAAACCAAAATATGGGTAAGACCAGTCCATCGATGAATTGTATTTAAATTTATTGATGATAAGTCGTGTGAATTATTCGGAAGAGAGTGTGGAAGGAATTCAGAACTAGGTGAAAATGGATCAGGATTTGGTGGAAAAAGTGTAGTCGTAGGTGGAGGGGGAAAATGTGAAGGAGAACTGCTTGCAGAAGATGAATTATTTATATCCAATTCATTCCAGCGTTTTATTGGGTGATAATGATAAGATAAAGTATACGACTTATCCTCAAGAATGATTATTTCTCGTTTCACAAAAGGATCAATACCTCCAACCGTCTTAGCATAAGTTTTATGACTAAAAGGTGGTAAGCTCGATTCGTCAAATATTCCAAGTTGGCCGTCTGTTACTCCCCAGCCCACTAATATTTCTTCAACAGTAGTTATAAAACGTTCCCATTGTGAAGCTGCTGTATAGTCGACAAATTCAAAATGTTCGTCGTCGTCAATAGGAGAGGTTGGACAAGAGACATCCATTTGTTGAGAAACGACTTATATGTTATTGAATTTTTCGGGACACATATAACGTTATTGTGATTGTTGGGCGAAGAAAAAAAAAAAAAATCATTTATATATTCAGGAATTTGTGTAATGTACACGTATCATACGTACGTACGTTGATGACACCATGCTATATAGTTGGTTTTGAGAATCAGCCAGGAGCCCCCCCGAAGTTCGGGTGATGATCTACGAAATAGCCGCAGCAGCCGCAGTATCTTTTCTTTTGTCACATAGACGCGAATAAGAGAAGTTATCTAATTTTTTTATTATTTGAAATTAGTTTTTCTTTTTTGGAGAACTTTGCTATAGCTAAAG